GCTGAACTCTGTCCTCTTCAGCATCTTCATGTGTTCTGTACACCCACTGGTACAATCCCTTTCAAGAGACAGCAGCTTCAGCTATGACCTCAGTAAAAATGCCCAATCTCTCTGTGTTTGGGCTACAAAGCTAAATCTATCAATTTTGTATCACAGAATGTTAGGGGTTGGAAGGGACCTCGCGAGATCATTGAGTCCAACCCCCCTGCCAGAGCAGGACCACAGAATCTAGGGCAGATCACACAGATTCTGTGGTATCTTCTATGCTGGCTGAAGTATCAACATTCCACCAGCTTTCCTCTGAACTTCAGAGAAAATCTACATCAGTATCTGTGTGAACTTCTAGTTTTAGCAACAGTTAATAACATTTAGTGTATGAATTACCATACGTGTTATTTGTAAATGTTTTGCAACTACAGACAACTGTAATCAGCTCCCTCAGTTGCACGAGAATCTTGGCATGGGAATAAGTAAGTCAAATGAGACATGTATACATTGTTTTTCTGAATAGTCAGTGAGCATAAAAGCACAGAAGGGGAGGACAGAAGGGCAGGAATTAAGGTACTTCCTTTGAGGTTTTGTACTCATACCAGTGCTTCCTGTTGCCTGGTCCTGTAGGCTGTGAAGTGCTCCAGAACTTCCATATAATTTCCATGTGCTGCATTATTGCCATTAACTTTCAAAATACACTGCCCTGGATGAAGGCCTACAGCTGCAGCCTCAGAACCTGAAAAATCAACAGCAGAGGAGTTAAGACGGTAAGGCCATCTGACTGTGGAAGAGAAAACTGAAAGTTTGCCAAGGATTTCTGGTTAAGAAGAACCAGTTGAATGCTGTCATGGTTTTTGCTACTACGTACTTATTCCAAGAGCTTTGTTGTAGAAGCAAAACTTAATGAATTAATTCTTCATCTTTTTAATAGTGCTGGGAAAAAAACAGGACCTCCTAGATCTAAATGCATTCATGCTAGAAACAGAAATTCCTGTGGGAAATCATCTGGATTCTTACGTGGTCCTTCTAGCCTTATTGCATTAGCCGGGGTCTTGCTTAAAATGTAAACAGTTATATTTGTTTCAGCTTGTTACACTTGAAAAACACAGAACACTTGCATGTTATGCAATTTTCCATGGCCTGAGAAAAATACTATGAAGTACTTAAAACTACAGTAAGTCCAAAGTGCAATAACCAACTTCAGTGAATTTATTCCAGATTCATGTGAACAAGACTCAGACCCCAAACCCGCTCCTAGAAATCACCTAGAAAGGTGATTAATTTTTCTAAGGCACCATCATTTAAAAGGCAATTTGCCTTTTGCTAGCAAAATCCTGAAAAAGTACAATCTTTCTAGCTGGCACTTCCAGTTTGTACTCCTCAGACTGTCAAAGCGTGGCTATAGGTGCTGTTATGAACGAATAAATGTGTCTCTCCGAGAACGTTGTTGCATTTAGGTGCTGCCTGTTGTCGTTATACAAATTAGATATATATATCTGGATATAGGTATTTGTTCTGAAGGAAGGAAGTGGTACATGTCTGAAAGGTCGTATTTTCTGCATATGTTGAAAATAAAGTTACAGCTGTCCTCTACGTTTAGCTCAGTTAACATTTCAATCACGGAAGCAGTAAATATCTCTGTCAAACTGTGCTTTCTCCTTTTAAAAAGACCAAGGAAAGCAGTTCCCCTCTATCGTACGCTGGTTATTTATAGCAGTATGCGCCAATGTAAAGGGAGAAGTAGTCCTCAAGTCTTAAATCATACTTTGTGGTGTCCATTAAGAAACATGATCCGTCTCCCAACCTGCTGATCCCACAGCACAGTCAGAACTACAGTGATCCAGACTGTGGCTGACCACAGGCGAAAACATTGAGAAAGCAACAGACAGCATTACACACCTCAACTTTTCCTCAGCCACCTCAGTTTTATATTTTTATTCCTAGCTGCTATAAAGCTGTATCTTAGCAATCTTAGAAGAAACAAGGTTAGGTTCACTGAGCAAGTATATTTGTAGCTTGCACGAGCTCAAGCGATAAAGCTTTCTCAAAAGTCCTTCCGCAGCACCGTGCGTTGCGGCATCACCAAGTTTCTTCTACTGTAGAACGAAGCTATTCCTTGTCGGTGTTGACGGGATCAGTGACCAGACACAACACTCAGTTCATAATAATGACACCATTTTCTTAGACTGTGAGCACTCTGAGGCAGGAACTGTTTTGTTTTCTGTGCTTTAACACTTGGGTGTGAGCCTTCCCTTGGACAGGCGTTCCCGGTCCTTATGGTCACTGACGTAAGTTGTCAGAACTTCTTCAGAACCAGTCTGACAATGAAATCTGGACCTGTCTTAACTGAGATACACACACACACACACGCACTTTATATGCACATGTATATATATTGAGCTGTACTCCAAGCTTAACTGTACCACAGCTTTTCTGCTTACCTCTTCCTACTGCATGAACATACGGTGGTGCTGCTCCTCGTATCTGAAAACAAAGTGTTTCAGGACAATCTGGGATTTTAATAATCCTGCAGGTAAATAAAGGAGAAGAGAAAGTAGCATTTTAAATTAGGTTGCCAGAGCTCTGGGCAGTTCTAACAGCAGCTTTCCCTGGCGTTCACAACCATGTTTTGTATTAAAGAAAGCACCCATAATTTACAAATAAATAGACCTGAAGAAATCATTCACTCCATCTTCATTCTCCAAGGCAGATGCTAATTAAAATCTAGCACTTCAAAACTGGACAGAAATTTTCCATAGTATTTAAATTCATTTCCATTTCTAGGCAAACTTGGTGCAGCTGTGCTGACTTACATCAGCTGAGGATCTTTTCCATTAAAAAAAAAATAGACTGGACAAGACATCCTGGACTAGAATTCAGCATCAAGAGCCCATTGAGATGCTCAATTCTATGGCAAATTCTGAGATTGCAGAATCTAATGATTAACAAGACATTAACAGGGCCAAGCCTCATTATGAGATACAATTACGAACTGAAAAACTCTAAGGGCTAATATCGTTAGAGTAATCCAAAAATAAACCAAGCTTTAATATGGTGGAAATTGCTTTTCTTGGCACATACATTAGACTCTGAGAAGCTTCACACCTGAGACAGAATGATAGTTCTTGTGATTCAGTTCTGTTTGTGCACAAGGAAGCCAAAAGTTAACTGCAGTACAAGGAGAATACATCCTAACCTGTTCTAGAAGCAAAAAGTTCATTGCTAAAACAAGCCATGACTTGCATCTTTCCTTTATGTCATCTGTCTTCCTACTGAACAGCTTCTGCATAGCAAAGTGTTTACAGAGTTTGCACTACAAACTGTAGATGAGATATTCAGTAATTGACATTTCTAGATGAACTTCTCTGTCTGCCCATCTTGGCACTTACTCTTTTGATTTGATGGCTACCAGAAGCCTGAGTGGCCTTCGCGAGCAGAAGGACTGGTTTAAGATGGTTTCCACTTCTGAATACGGGCGTAGGAATATTAGGTCCTCATTGATGGAATAGATTTTTCTTCCTGTCTGCAGGCCAGCCATCTGCAAATGAAACAAACACCACAAAAAACTTTGGGTCATCGGCAGCATCTCTGGAAGTTCCGGCTCCAACGTTCAACTGCTCTCTAGTTAGGGACATTCCCTGGATTACTGTCATACGGAACACTCTATATACAGTGCTGGTTCATCAAATCATTTGTCAGTCTCCCTGAAAGTTGTCTCCATTTATGTAAAACAAAGAGATTCCACCAGTATCTGTATAAAAATGCCACTTATTTTGCAATGGATGTATCTTCATACTTTTCTGCTACATTTTTTTAACAACTATTAAAAAAGGAGACTATAAAAAATGGGGGGGGGTACAACACACTGAAAAACAGAGGACTATAAGTGACTGTAATACCCAGAGTGATACAGACGTGTGACCTCCCACCACTCACAGCTCAGGCACAAGGAGCCAAGGACACAGTTTCCAACGACTAGCCACGCAAAATCCATCTATACTTAGTCACATAAGTAAATGTAACCTGTTTTTAAGTGGTGAAAAACTGTATCTACTCTCCACAGCTGACAACATCCCCTGTGTACCTGTAAATAAAATCTTTTGTCTTTATTTTTTTTTCAAAATAATCTCTAAAATGGATAATAGGGATCAATAGCAATAGAGATCTTAAGATAGAATTTGACACACTTTGGTTTATAACTCAGTGGAAACTCCTGCTATGTGCATTTACTTACACTGATGAGTTTATTATAAAGTAATAATTATTAGGTAAATTTCCGAAGTCATTATATTTTAGGCCTGATTTTCTCAAGTACCTCATGTGCTTAATGTACGAGCAATTAGTTACACTCTTTGCATAGCTGCAATCATCCTGCCTGTGGGTGACCTCTTTATACTCCTAACTTCCTTCTTGTGTGTACAGGACACCTATCTGCACACATCAGCATAGCAAATCCATGAATGTGTGAGGTACCAAGTCACATAATAAAACCTACAAACTAGCAACGTTCGAATAAAAATCCGATACTCTACTGGGATATAACTAAGCAGTCTAAGGAAGATGAGACTGCGTATCTCTAACATTAAATACTCTACAGTGTCACAGAGCTCCTGAATCATGGATGCTCCTTGTGACAACTCACTGCAGTTGCCTGGATTCAGGCCACTGTTTTTTCCCAGATGCCAGCCGCTTGCTATTTGCTGTCCATCTGCATGGCCACTGGCCAAGTGGCTGCTTGTCGGACACGCTGTATTCAAACACCAGACATCTGCTCGACAGTTGGCTGCTCAGAGTAAGACGGCAACTGCACCTCCCAAAAGGATAAATTTTTTTCACTGTTGCTTCCTTCTGATGGAGCAATTTCACAGACCAGTTCCATTTTAAAAACCTCTGGGGATAAGTTCAGCTACAATTAACCTGCAAACGAGCTGGATTAGAAAGGAAGATGAGGAGACACTGACTTTCTGAAAGTCTTTGTGAAGACACATGAGCTTGGGACAGGCATGGGATGTGCCACAGTCCACATGTGACTTTTTGTAACCCTCCATCTAGGTGAGCTGAGCAAGTGCTGACAGTCACAGGAGCATGGGGGGACAATTCCCACAGTAAGAGTCCTGGGCTAAGAGCTGCTCATCATGCAGGATCAGGAGAGAAAATGCATGAGTAGTGTCTGCTACAGCACCGTTCTATCTAAGGGCCAAAACCAAGAAGTTGAATACTCATATCAGGCAAAAGAGTTCTCACACTGCGGTTCAGGTACGCTATCAGTGCAGGAATTCCATGTTCCTGCAATTCTTTTCTTAACAACTTTTAAACACAGTTTGGCAACTATTTCTGGCACAGGCAAATCTAACAGCTCACAAAACAGCTTCTAAAAAATCTTGAGAAGGCAAAATGACACTAAGAATAGAAAGAACAGTGCTTGACAATCTTAATTTTGAATAAAAATCCCAAAGACGCTTGTTGCACATGCAGGAAGTTCGCTGCTGTGTGCTGCCACAAGACAAACACGAAAATTTTGTGCCAGGTGCACTAGGAAGAAGTGATTACAATCCCAGATTCAAACAGAAGGTGTTAATCCTGAAAAAAATCCATGGAACTAATAGACTTTTTTCCCACCTAATTGGTGAACCCAGAAACTTACTCTGGCCCAAAGTGTGACAGTCCCAATGAATGCATTATACTGTGATGGGCACTGCGAAGTAAAGCTGCACGTCTTAATTCTTGTCCCTCAAGAGTGTGACAGCAGGCATATGGTCTCTAAATAGCCTGCAGCTGCAGAGCCACACAGAACAACATGCTGGATAACTTTCTGGTGTCAAAAAGCAATTAAGAAAGTCTAAGAATGCAACGAAACACATTACTGTTGGACCTCAGGTCTTTGCAGAATGAGCTGACAACCCTCTGGTTCAGAGAGATGCAGGTTTAGTTATTTTCTGGAGCAATATTTTAAGTTCAAATTGAAAAGACGGGCTCATAGACAGATGGTTTGTCTTGGAAGATCAAGAAAAAGATTCCTTAGAAAATTGTGTGCTTCTGCTGTCTTGAAACACAACAGATTTGCAGGATATTCCACAGGCATCCAGCCAAAGAAAGGGCAGAAGGATTATCTGTCAGGCAATGGTTTACAGCAGAGGTTTAGATTAATAAAATTTGTGGCCAACTTATGTTGATTTTGAGCACAAGGTAGAGCATAGGATTGGTTTCTTTGATGACCATAAAAAGAATGAGAATCAGGAATACTAAAATAATTCTAATATTAAACTTCAGTTCAAAATTCCTTCTTGTTTGACGTTCCCAACTTGCTAAAATCAGTTTGTCCACTTCAGTTGTTTGCATGGGGCAAGTTATCCAAGAGCTATCTGTGGCCTGAAGCCATGACCAAAAAATGAATGTGGACATTAACAATATTCTGTTATGGTTGTCGTGGACATTTATCTAGAAGTACTGCCTGTGTGCTGCCACAGTTTACCATGAGACCTCATTTAGCCCTCCCATATATTCACAGGTGCTAAAAGGCATCTAGCTATCTCTTTAAAAAATAAACTTTCAGTCTGTCTGTGCCTTATTTCAGTAAACGGAGGATCACACTGTGTTATCCACTCAGGGAGATAAACGAGTGCATGCATTTTAAGGGAAAAATATTACAAAACATAAAATACAGCTTTCACTCGCATAAACCTGTTTCTAACTGAACACCTTTGCTATCGCAAAAGAAATGTTACTTTCCTTTCCTGCACAAATTTCAGCTGCTAATGAACCTGAGGCATGCTAACATCATGCAGATACTGCTGTTGTCCTTTCACTACCAAAAAATATTCAGCAAGTCATCCAAAGATGCCAAAACACTTAGCAATTTACAGAAAGTTTGATACCATGGGAATTATAGAAGATACCCAATTTCCTACTAGCTACCTTGAAAACAAAAAAGTCTTTAAAAGGATGGGGTTTTACCTTTTCAAAGCACTGAAATATTCTTAGGTACCACAGCCAAAATATTTACAAATGTCAGGTCTTACCTCTGCAGAAGACCCTCGTCGAACTGACTTCACCACAACTGCTTTGTTCTTTTCTTCTATGTCAAATCCATAGTCATCCTCTTCTGGTAAAATCTTAAAAAAAAAAGCAGAAGGTAATGCTCCATAAATATGCAGTTAGCCAAATAGCTGAGGGACAGAGATGAGAAATTGGAGTTTTCAGTGTAACTCGTGATTCACATAGACTTGTGTCTCTCAAGGCTGAAAGGAACTACTAAGTCTGTTGGTCTGATCTCCTACATAACATAAGCCATAAAATTTAACCTAGTTCCTTTTGCATTAAGCCCTTACTATACTAAAGCAGAATTTCCAGAAAGTTATCGAGTTACGACCTGAAGTTTTTAAACAGAATCTATTCCTGCCCTTGAGAGTTTGTTCCAATGATAATCAACTCTGCTATTAGAAACTGCATTTGATTTTAACTTCTAGCCCTTCATTAGATCTTTCACTTTTAGATTACAGAACACATCAATATTCAGTATCCTCCATTAGTGAACTTACAGATCAAAGTGTAGTCATTTATTTATTTTTTAAAATACATCCCACATACCCAATAATGAACAATCTATGAATCCATCTTAGCTATTAGTTTCAGCTAAATTGTTATCAATAATACTATACACTACATAAATCTGCATCATAACACTCAGTCTGCTGGATAAAATTCCGGATGATCAGTGAGAGAGCAATTGGTGACATCTATAGCTCCTTCCTCTAGAGAACAGGCATGTAAGCTTTGTGTTAAGGGAAAAACAGAAGACTCGGGTCATGTGCTCAGTTCACACCTTTCATAGTTGACAGAAGACTTGGTAGCTCTCACTGCTGAGAATCTGCTTCCTCTTATTTACACTGAGTTCACACAGACCTGCCTTATAAATATCTTTTAAAATACTATCAATCATTACAAATATGTGTTTTGCTCATCCTTTTCTAGTGGTTTATTAACAATGAAAAAAAAGCTTAACAAGTCATTTTCCATTTTAAAAAAATCAGGCAAGCTTGGCTGCTGGTAAATGGACAAGTGGAAATTCTACCTGATAAACATCTTGCATGTGAGCAAACAGTACACATTGAAGAGCCATCTGATAAATTAGAACTAAGCTAAAAAGAAAAATAAAGCTATCTATAATCTAGCATGTACCTGGGGGAAAAAAATTACTGAGAATTATTTCCTTGATTCTGATGATTCCTGAACTATCTTAAAACATTGTCCTTTTTCTCTTTAAGTCAATGCCATCAATTTATAAGCTTCGTCCTTTTACAGGAATTCACCTTAGAAAAAAAAATAATTAGTATCATCCTTTCCTGCAGAAGCCATACAGCCATGTTAAAATAATGCATGACATAATACATTTGCAGGAAAAAATTCCTCATCAGATGACGTTCAGATTAAATGACAGACTGGAACGTAAAAACACAAACTTAAATGGTATCTTGGATGCAGCTACCGTTACTATGTATGAAGATCTTTTATATACTATTATTTTTATAACCTACTGTTCTCTGTTCATTAGTTGTGCAAAAATGTATTGTTTGAAAGGAAAAAAACAAAATACTTTTAAGAAAACCCAAGTGCATCAACATTAGGAGCTCTATCACCATGTTGTAAAGAAAGAAATCTCACATTGTCTGGTACTGGGGACACTCTCTTACAAAACGGGAGATTATAAATAATATTCAATATGCAGTACCTGGAGAAGGCAATGATTCATTCTTTATTATAAAGCAGTAATACCTTGCAATTCCACAGCTGAACACCATTCACCCCTAAGGAGTCAAAAGCAATTAACTAACTTGCCACCTACAAGAATTATTTCTGTGCCCCTGAAATCCAATCAGTTTTTTTCAAATGCAACGCAGCAGCTGTTTAATCTTGAAAGACGACCATGTTAAAAAATCAGACCGTATGAGAAATAAGTGTGTTTAATCAAAACCAGAACATATTCAGAGATAATTTTGGCAGAGTGGGGAAGGAGGGGGAGTGGGGAGATGAACAACTGTGCCACGAATGGTCTGTTACACCTCAGCTCTAGGGGACAGCAGCAGCAGAAGAGGCAGCATCACCCATCATTTCCTAAGCTGGGGTCCAGCACACACGCACGTCCTCTCACTGCCTCCCCTAGAGCTCTCCAGCGTAAACTCCTCTCTGATGGACACACCTGAACAGTCTGCCTTGGTTCAGAACTTCTTGAGGAGCAGTGACTGATCAGGTAACATCAAGTCTGAATGCTTCATGAGGTTTCTGCAGGCCTCAGCAGCCTCCATTTGAAGGGAGCGATGTTCCTGCCACCTCATGTCCCAGGTTGGTCCAGCCTCCCCAGCCTTTCAACAGCCCACAGCTCTGGGGCAACAGAGCAAAAACTGAGATGGCGAAACCTCTTTGCAATGAGAAGCTCCAGAATCTAGGGCACTCCTACTGTTACTACCTTTAAAGGTATGTTTTTGCCACGTTAGCAAAATAGGCTCAATATATACAAAATGACTCAAAAGTTGCTTCTGGTTTGCGAGCTTTGAAATTAAGCACTGAAACGGAACAGTTCATTTTGAACAGTGAAAGGTTTACAGCCCAAAGGATGTTCTCCATTTCAGAGTTCACTGCAATTTTTAGTATCCAAATCCACTCAGAGCCCTTATCTGGCCACATACACCTGGATGACGGATGCTCTTGTTACTGACTGCCAGCCCGTCTCCTTGGGAGATCAGGAATCCCCAGAGGATGGGCTCTTATTAGTGGCTCTCTTCCCAGGGGTGTTTTAAATCAAAGATTTGAATTCTCAAGCTACATTAGACTGTGGTACGCTAGTATAATGAAGAACAAAGGGAAATCTCTTTTTTGCCCTCTCTGTTGAAATTTTGCAGAGTTAGGTCATTTTATATTAGAAAAACACATGAAAATAATTCCCCTAGAATGATTAAAGATGGAAGAGATTTTTATTAAGGACCATATGAGTAATACAAATTACTATTATTTACTTATGATTAGGAGAAATGTGTTCTACATTTTTATAAGAATTCTAAGTTGAACGCTAAGTTTATTGGATTAGTTGGTTTAAAACAGAAAAGACATGAAATCAAATTATAATACTACCTATTCCCTAAAAATTTGATATCTGAAGTGCTGAATTATAAAGGCACTTTCACTTTCAAAGCTAATTCTAAACGCAACATCAGTAGCAAAGCCCTATGGACAGATGAGAGTTAGTATCCTAATTTTCAGACGGTAAACTGAGGCATGGAGTGATTTACGGTGACACAGTGAATTCATGTGAGAAGTTAAATTAGAACCCAGGCAGCTCTGACTTCTGTGCTCAAATCCCTGACTTCCACAAACAGGCTACAGTTCTCAGGGCCCTGTAGGAGCTGAATTCCAGGACATGTCTGTGAACTCCAGTGGGACACAGCAGCTACTCTCTCTTGCAGCTACTGCCACACACTACTGAGAATAAGAAATATGGGATATCCTGGAGGAATGTAGGAGATATCACAGGTCTGGAAAGTTGAGGAGGTTTAGATTTACAGTCCAGATCTCCAATCCAGCCTGACCGTTCTGAGAATGCTGCATAAAATGTACACAGGCATCACCTTCAGAGATCACTGGAAATGCTTTTCTTCTGACATCAGGGAAGTGACCCACTAGAGCCTCCTGGGGACTCCAGCGCTGTGTGAGCAATAACCTCAGCGGCAGCTTCCATGGAGGCCCATGTTTGCAGGCAACTGTCCCTGTCCGGTACTCAGCTCCAAGCTACCGGCTTCCATCTGTGTTGTGGCTGGCTCGGGCTAACAAGCAGAGGTGCTGATCACAAGTTAACAGCACCCTGCAGTAACCAAGTCACAATGCTTGGAGTCAATCCAAAATCCAAATTCTCTTCAACTATGCAAAGAATGTTGTATATTTTTTCATTCTGTCAAGATTTATGTCCTTCAATGAGAAGCAATTGCACAAACAAATGAGTATTAAATTTTGTTGAAGTGCATTTTTTCAGATGGAAAGCACTTTTTTCCTTGGGATTTCTAATGATACATTTGCCAAAGTTTCTGTTGTCTGTTTTCAAGGGAGAGCTCTCCTGTGATAGTGCAAACTTAGAGGAAGGGGGTGGAGGAAGCTGTCCATTAAACAGCTAGGATTTCACGGCAGTAGAAAAGCATGTTCCAAAACCAGCGCTGAGGAAATTCCATTAAACTTCCTACGGTGAGATCAGGGGATGGGAAGGATCAGTGCCCTGTCATGAGTATGAAGAGGCAAACTGTGATGTTCCACAAACAGTAAAGCTGCAAGATTCCAGTTCTCGTAATTGCTAAACACAGAATAAAATAGAAGCCAGGCACAAATGTTTCTGTGGGTAAGTGTAACGCATTTACTGTACTGCTATTTGTGAGGGATTCTTCACAAACATTCAGGGGACTGCCGATTTATTTGTGAAAATGAAGGCAACTCATAACTTTAGCATGACTACTACTCACTTAACAAAAATCTGTGCCCTCTCAGTAGGAGATTCCTTACTCAGCATGTGCTGTCCATTTCTGATTGTTTGCTTTTTGAGGTGGGACTTTATTTTGACAGAGGCTGACTGATGCACTTCAAAATATTAAAATTATTCCTGTTGCAAGTATTTCAATTACTAAATTAAGGAGTGATTGTGAGGATCAAATAGGGATTAAGATTAATCATTAGTAAACAGTCCATGTGTAAAGTTTGTTCTGTCTCTTTAGTGAATACTATTAATTATTACATTAACAGAAAATGGTATCAAAGAACTTGAAATCGTCACTTTACAGCTAACATATTACTGTTGAGTTTCAGCATTTTTACAGAAGTGCTTGGAACTGACAGAAAAATGTAGGAGAGACATACTAGTCAATCTGTTTCCTCAAACTGTCTTGTCTTGATAAGGTGGGAAATTAAAAATGCCTGAACAATGGCAGTTCCCACCAACTTACATGAAACCGATCTTTGAGTGCTTTGCAAATCATAATTAAAAAACACCCACGAAGTTTATCACCTCTTAACTGCCTCTCTTTATTCAACAGCTCTTCATGAGGATAATCCTATTAATCTGACAGTCCAGTCTCTGGCATGGATACACAGAGGAATAATTTTGAGGGACCATGGTGCTTTAAATATTATTTCTGGACATTGAGACAAACACGGTTTGGTCTCCTGGGAGACAAGACAACAGTGAGACAGTGAAGTCTGTATGAACCACAGGAAAAAAAATCCCATATAACTGACCTCTGGATCTTTTCCAGCAATTCTACTTCTGTAGTTTCTGACTCAAGATTTTATCCTGTTCCTGTATTCTGCCAGTGTTCAAAGGGAGAAAAAGATGTATCCGGAGCCACCGGCTGTAAACAAAGGCTCTCAGAACAAAGAGTTTGCACCAATCCAACTATCAATTTCAAACAGCATCAGATTAATGCCAGTGCTGTGAGGACTGTGATGGCATTCAGTGAGGTGGGAATCTGGAGATAACAGTTACATTGCAAAAGCATGAACATAAAGAACAGTAGTTTTTGGAAAACTGTTTCCATAAAGCAAAGCTGATACTTGATCCAGTAATGCAGGACATGTTCGTATCGCTTAGACAATGATGCCTGAAATATCTGCGTTCTTATCAGTCTTTTAACTTGCATCTTCCTCACTCACAAGGATGTTTAAAAACCAACACTGTGGTGCCTGACTCTGTGAACTCAAGGAACATGTGGTGCCTGCTAAGACAACACCTGCAGCCCCCAGCTCATGTCCAGACTCTCTCAAGGGCTTCATGGGAATAGAAAGGGGTTGGGCTGTGAACTGGAGGAAATGGGTCACGTCTCTAAGTCTTCCTCTTTACCTGAGACTTACCAAAACCAGGCAGGAACTTACTTGGATTTGCACGTGTGAGTGTGTGTTGTAAATCCAAAGCTCTTAGGTAGTGCAGTAGGATGGTCACATGCTGGAGAAGGGAGCCTGCAACATTCAGATTTCCCTTGCTCCTAGAATAAGCTATTCAGCCCACCCAGCTAGAAAAATCAGAGCTACAGAATTTGGAGCTCTACAGCAAAGTAACACAAGTATTAGTATTTATGCAGCGAAGAAAAGTCTAGCTACAGGGGTAATACCCCATTTTAATTCTACTCTATCATAATTTTCCTTCTCATTCTCCTCTAGTATAAAACAGTACCACTTTCACAGAAATATCAGGGTATATATTAACATGTTTCTTACCAGAAGCCTCGTTCCCAGGATGTTTTCCACGAGTTTGAAGTCATTACGTAATTGTTTGCTCTTGCAACTGGTGCCTTCCATCTCCTCATCAGCATAAAAGCGGAAATATAAGGATTCATCCTTAAATTCACTTTTCTCCAGGACTGGAAACAACATACATGAAATACACACATGCATTTACACAGAGAAAGAAACAGAGAAACACAGAAGAAAGTTAAAGGAAATCATGAATATTTCTCCAGTCTTTACAGAACAAAGAATAGATGCATCCCTATCAGTCAGCTATTCAGCTCTATATTTTTAAGATGATACCATATTTTAGGAGTATTCTTCTCTTCACAGTGCATGGTAATCCATGATTTACCTCCTTGGCATGTTGAATGCATATAAAATGCAAAAGATCTTCTTGGAAGAAAAATGTTACTAGAAACTTTATGTTCCTTTCTCATTTCAGAATGAATACCGTAAGCTATAAAAGGAGCAAAGAGGAGTAAAATGGCTCTTTAAAGGTAAATGAGATGGCTAAAAAGGAATTGAGAAGGAAGTGAGATACTATAAAATTCTGGTACATGTGACAAAGTTCTTTACCACATTTTCAAATATGAAACCTGGGGGTTTCAAATAAAAGCAGTAAGTGACAATTTTAAAACTTGAGGAGTAACTTCTTCATCTACTTATGTAAAGGAACTCTTGCCAAAAGATGCTATGAATGCCAGAAGTTTACATAGGCTCAAAACAGATGGAGTTCTTTAAAGAACTTACATTGTTATCAAGTACTATGCAAATCCCTATTAGTTATTCACAATAACCTGATCTCAAAAACACTATTCAAAATATGGTGAGCAAATGTTATTTATTACTAAAACTCAATGTCTCATTGGACAAATTATGTTTTACTCTTAAGACTTTGTTTGATACTGATGGCGATGTGGTCTGTTTACTTTCCCAGTTTAGCAGCAGCCTCACAGAGGACAGGTGCCTAACTTGGCAGTCTGGCACTTCAGACTGGGAAGCTTCAGAGGTTCAGAACTCGGGATTGGTCTTGATGTCCAAGTGGCAAGAATTAGGCAATTCTACTTTTGTAGATGTCTCTGACATTTCTTGGTGACATTTGAGAACAGTACTTGGCCCGTGCATTGGTCTGACGGCTCTGAAAGAGATGCAGTGAAAAAACGTGCACCTTCTAGCTGGTCTAATCACTTCAGGGCTCACCGTAACTATTAGCTAGGGGATTCACTTGGGAAGGTACTAGGCTTAGACATCTCGTGTAAGCATGAAGACTGATTTTTAGAAGGACCTGCTGGGATGCCTGCAACTGTATACATGTCAGCATGTCTGGCACAGCCTACAGAAAAGAGATTTTCCGACAGTCAGCTAATCTGACTGATGTAGGAGCTCCTTTAATTGGCTGTGGGAAGTAACACCGATGCATTACCATGATGCATGAAGCCATTATTGCAGAGTCCAACACCCAGTGCGACAGCTTCCTCTCGCGTCTGACAGTCTCCCTAGAAACAAGAGGATAAATATTACACCTCAGACAACTTCCTAAGCTAAATTACTCCCCTTCCCCGCTGCATAGCCTGTGGCTCTGATATTAGCAGGATGCTCTTTGTAGGGAACAATAACAAGAAATTAAATAGCTACCCCGTTGCCCAAATCTCACTCATTCCTATATATAGCACTTCTTGCCTCCTACATGAACTAGGAGGAAAAAGGCCAGGATTCTAGAAAGTAGTTGTTTAACCCACAAAGTGACATAATTTATCTCAATGTAAAGATGTTTTATTTGCAATCACAGTGTTGGACTTTAGGACTCATTAGCCATAGACAGTAAAACTCATTCTCAGAGACAGAAGTTGAGAGATCATATTTATATTCAACCAAAGGGAGAAAAACCTCAGTAAACGCAGGGTACGTGAACTCCAAAGGTCAGACTGTTTAAAACTGCAGTGGCACTCCTTTCTTACACAGCAGACCTATGAAAAATGGCTTCAGTTTCTCACTACCTGAAGCTTTGAGTGTAGTATTTCAAAACAGGTACCAAAGGTGACTTGCAAATTTACAAGTTTATCTGAAATGGCAGCATTAAGTTTTGCATTTACAAGTCAGTTAAATACAAGAAATGCTTATTTTTCTCTATGTATCTGCTGATTTGCAGCCACAAGTGAAGACTTCATGCTGGTGTACTTTTTAGGCAGAACTACAAGTTGGAAATAGTGCTGTTAAAAATTAGGAGGCACTATTGGTCTTACCCAGATGGAAGAACAATGGTAACACTGGTCACTTGATGCAAGATTACCTGGTTCCCAGTCCCCAAAAGGGCACACGAGAACCCGAGACCTGCTGTCGCACTGAGCCACTTGGTGAGCTCCTTCCAGCAGGCAGGGGACCTGCTGCTTTGGCAGAGCAGTGATTGCAGACTATCACTTCCAGTCCCACCAAGTTAGAGGCTGTACCCTGTACAGGTATTACGCCTCCTTTCCCAGCCCCCACTTGGAGAAGGAGATACCCTGACGCTCTAGCAGCAGCTGCAGAGCAGCGCACTGACTTCGTTTCAAGCAAACCAGCTTGCAGCCCAAGAGCCCTCTGATCTCGTCAGTAGAACACCAGTCCTGCTTTGAGTCCTGCTAAGGAGAGCAGGAGCTATTTGCCAGGCAAAGAACATCGCTCTGGTGTAAAGATACTATTTAAATACAGGATAAAACAGGACCAGCTCTTGCCAACCAGCAGTGCCACTGGCTCTTGTTAAAAAGACTTCCTGAGAACACAAAAAGGCACAGCAATAACAAATTAAGAACTCAATACTGCTGTCTTGGTAGGGAAAAGACCAAGGCAGTTCTGGATGAACCACATTATGTAAGCACACAAGGGAAGTCAAGAAAAGGGCTTTAATAAACCTGAAGTTTAACTTTTACTATAAACTATTTTCAATTCTTTTAAGTCCTTCCTCATATTCAACATCCTATCATGTGACAATTCTCAACACTCACTTTGTGTTCTTCATGGGATAAACGGGTAGTTTATTTTACAGAGGTTAAGATTTAAAAATCTAATTTATTCTTTCAACTGTAAATAAACGGTAGGAAAAATGCCTTCTAATGTTACTCTCTCAACCTTTAGGAATCTACTTTTGTTTTAGGCAAAATAATCTGTGTAGGAGGGCTTTAAACCAGACTTGGCTACTCCTAATGATGTTAACTTGGCCTCAAAACATTCCCCTAGCAAAACAGCATTCTCCTATTACAAAATATAACTTAAAACAGATCATTTCAGCTCATCTGTAAGTACTTCTAAATATTATGTAGCAATTTGCCAAATACATTGAAAGCAGTAACAAAAATCTTAAGAAAAAAGAACCACTTACAGTCAACAATCTTGGCAGAATGTGTCTCACAACTTTTTCAACCAGAAATTGGATGTGAAATTAGACAATACTAGTTTTGACAAAGTAATTCAGGTTTATTCCAACATAATCACTGAATTTTAGTTGGCAGAATTAGAGAAACAGTTTACAGCCAGTGAAGAATCATGTCCAGAGCACACTATTATTATTACTATTACTACTGCCACCATTACTATTATTATTATGATTGTTGTTGCTGTTGTCTGTTTCTGGTAGCGATATGATGTCTAAAGCCCGAATCATGGTCCCTGGCTAATTGCTTTGAGATGCGTAAGCCCAGCAATTAAGTGTCTGACCCAGATTGTTTACAACCCACATGTAGGAGAAAAGAAAGCAGAGGAACACTTAAGAACAGCAGCCAAACCACTTTTAAATATTTGTTGGTATCATGGAAAAAGAGAGCTTCAAGATTAAGTCCTCATTCCAAGTGGGAAGAGAGTCTAAGGCAGTGCAATGCATAGAGGTGCAACATACGCTGCAACAGAAAGAAGGAATGAGTGGATGGATGGGTGGGTGGATGGATGGATGGATGGATGGATGGAAAGAGGGAAGAAACCCACTGGAGTAAAACACCTGAACAATCTTGCCAGCAGATTTTTATTTTGCTTTTGTTCCTTTACTTCCATTTTATCTTTCATAAAAGTGGCATTTTAAGTTAGGACTGGGAATTCAACTGGCAGTGTTTTATCACAGATAATTTCTGGACATCTGGATATAAATCTTCAGCGAGATGACAAAAGTACTGTTTTTGTGGCAGTACAGTCTTTCAGTGCATCCTCAGCAGCACCTCAGATTCTGTGAAGCACAAGAGCTCTGAGATTTATGAGGCTTGTGTTCCTCTTTGTTCTCAGCCTACTGCCAGTGGGAAAAAGATCAGGTTGTAAAATGAAGTTTAGAGGGTCCAGAATCAATGAAAAAATAAGCCTCTCCCCTTCCAGGATTATCTCTAAATATACTTAGGGACCATAATATAATTCACAGACACTTTCAGTCTAAATCCACAGATATGGATCAGATATTTCTCCTTTCAATCTCTGACTGCTGAAAGCATTTCTCTGTTACACTCAAGAGGTCACTAAAGTAATGCTTTCGGAGAACTCTAATAGAGCATTATGTTTTCCAGGATTTGACTTTGTGCTTCTAGAAGAGGCATAAACACTTCTATCTCCAATCAGTGCTCATGGTCACGTATGCTTCCCTTCACCATCACACTTAATGCTTTATTGTACTGTCTTATGTACAATTTACGTAAGACATATTACAGGGAAAACTGCAATAGGATCCAGCTATTGCAGAGAGCTATAAAAAATAAAAAGATATCAAGCAAATTCAGGATTAAATCTCCACATCATTAGCAAATCCCTTGACCATCCTCTCTCACATGCAAAAACTCCCTGTAGCGTATCATCTGTGCTAACATATCACAGGGCACTTACTAATAAACCTGATAATAAACCTGACAGTCTGAGACACTCAGCTCCTGTAGATTCCTCATGTCTAACAGAGCCACAAATGCACATCTACTAATAGTGCTCTTAGTGCCTTTCCAGTCCCAGACTCTGTGTGCACACAATACACAGGGGATAATAACATAACACATTTGAATACAACTGTTCAAACATACACAAGATTAAGCTTTATTGAGGATCCAGCTTAACTCTTGTCAGAAGTCTAATAGCCAACAATTTCCAGGTAGAAGGACCAGGGTACACAACACAATTGACACAATTTCTTTGGTTGTAAAAAAAATTGTATTTTTTTGCTCTAGTCTTACAAATATTTGTAAAGGTCAAGGAAATGAAAACCAGTCTTCTTATTAGATACGGCTCCCACTAGCATTTATAGTCTAAATTGCAAACAGAAATGAGAGAGACTACTCTTCAAGATAGTCACTCAATGTCACTTAATCCAACAGAAACAACAGTCCTCGCTTCTTTTGTGCACCATTTCTAAACTAAATTCATGATGTAAATTGATTGCCAGAAGCAAAAATACATATACCCCAGCATTTCTGTGCAACAGGTTGTTATCAGATCAGACACCAAGTTTTTCAAGCAGAGATGCCTAAAGGTACATGTTTGAGCAGTTAAGTAAACACACTACTCCGCAAAAAGCTGAGGGTTCATTAGCTCCCACTAAACTCTGTTGTTAGTTGATATAGCCAAAGTGTGAATGTTTATTAGAAAATAGTTCTGTCTAGTAAGAAAGCTCCAAGCAAACCCTCATAAAAACTACTACTTGCAATGAGCAAAGATTGATTTAGGCCTACAGAGAGGAATTCTTCTAAGTCATAGACAGCGATTTAAATGTTTGACGATGTGCCCCTTTAAGGGAGCACAGAAAAGACTTCCCTCATCTTTGCATGTGTATACACCTAAGTATGCACACATATACACAAGATAAATTACAGAGCCTTCTATGACTCCATATCTGGCTTTAGTACATTCTAGCTCAATCTTAATGTAAAGCTCGTTAACCAGGAGAACTAGCAGCCACATTAACCTACCAGAGTGAAGAAAAATGGGGAAGGAAACAAACTTTCTTTTCCAGACCAAGAGCTCATGTTTTAGGTTCCTATCTGAGTCCTTGTACTGCCAGCTCTATGATTAACTATTAGACTGACCATATTAGCCTGACTACATCTCTCTTCTGTGGCCAAAGCAGACCTTTCTTCCCCCCTCAGCTTTCCATGAAGAAGACCCAGTTAAATCACACGTAACTGATATGACAACCTCAGCTACAAATACCCTTGCTCTCCTCTATGCTCTTAACAGGAAAACAATTGACTACTCTATACTCAATCAGTTATTTGCACAGAACTACCTTAAATCATACCAATCTGACTAATGTAGGAGAACATCAAATGCAATTGCAGGAAACACTTCTGAGGGACAACATCCCAGGCTGTCAGAGGTCTGATTCCCATTCAAACTAGCCTCCCTTTATGTCATTTGGGCAGCACTGGACTTAATGTGACTGTGAATTAGACCATCATTTAAGACAAAACCAAAATGCGCAGTTGACTCTATGATGATGAGCAACCTGGCCCCCTCTCCCTCTAGAGTGCTTTAGTCTATCAAAACTAAATTTTTAACTTCCCAAGCTACAGGCTCTTCTCTGTAATTACAAGGGGAGTGTGGGGTAATTACAACTTCTAAAGACAACTGTGCAGTTGTTGGTGTAACACTCTGTGTTTTTCAACAAAATTGTACCACACCTATGCTACATTAAATGAAATCAGCATTGCTTTAAATGTCTTCCAAAAATCACAAGAAATACAAAAGATCCTCCAGAACATCCAGTTCACCACTCCTAGGGCTAAAAAAGAACTTTCTTCCCCTTTATGCTGCCAAGTAACATTTTCAACAAATGAACAATAACAGAAAGCGTAAGATTTTAAGTTCAAAGGGTCAGAATATGTTTAATTGTGTTGCAATATTCTTGGATGTGCTTGGACTTGATGATCTTAAAGGTCTCAACCAACCGAAGAGATTCTGTGATTCTTTAGATAAATGTTTATTATTTACTTCTAAATGGAACTGAAAATTTAAGCTCCTTGTCAAAGACATTGGTATATTAAAATTTTCTTACCTGTGCAATAAGCCAATCTACAAGTTTACTTGCAGGGATTACTGATTTGTAGGTCTTCAGGTGGTAGTCACGGTCTCTAATTAAGAAAGAGAATTTCAAGAAAATCAGGAAAAAAAGGTAAACATTTCTTTTACACTCCAAACCCATATATACTATTGTGACCTGCTATTGAGGAAAGAAGAAGAATTATAGATGGGAGGGAATAAATGAGACTCTCAGTCACAAATAAGTAAGACAAAGAAGCAGATACCCCTTTTCTCTGAAGAAACGAATAGTTTGTAAACTTTTCTAACAACTTGAATTGGGAAGATATTTCAGACTAATACAGAGCAAATTTATTTCAAATTTCTCTAGATGTTGTTTCAAACCATTTTCAGTGACCTCATATTCCTGCT